TATATATTTTCCGGGCTATTATTTTGAGAGCAGCTATACAGTGCTATTTTCCTTATTTATATTTAGTGACAGTTGTTAAGACACCACAATTTCTAAATACGACACTTTTATTTTTCATCAATAAAAGTGACAATACACGCGCGCGCACATTATTCACGGATTCAAATTCGTTAATTCATAGACGTTTGTGTGTTAATTCTAACAATTCAGTATGAACAAAAAGGAAACAAGCTTACAAACCGAGGCGGAGCTAGAGGAGTAGGAGGGGTTCATTCGAACCCGTTGCGAAGAAATCACATTGTATATACAAGATCAAATTATTTGTTATATACACATAGTAGTTATTGGATTCTCTCGGTAATTATTCTGCTACCGCCACTGCTTACAATAACCCTGAGTGCTTAAAGTTCTGATTATTCTTTAATGTCTAACTTTTTATGTGTGATTTTTTGTCCATATTATTACTAAAAGTTACACCTAATAGAGTTTGCAATCGGTTAGGCAACGTTTTCTTCTGTTCTAAAGGGTAATTTGGTGTACAAAGCATGAAATTTTTTATTCTGTGTCTCATACAACTGACTCTGCAAACTAAGTACTGAAGGTTTAATTAAAAAGGTACTTTTGACCTGTCAAGTTTTTACACTTATAATAATTATTTAAAGTTCGTTCAAACCGCTGAACTATGCCCTTTTGCCCTAAAGTGATACCTTCTATGTATACGGTGCAATGACAATTATATTTTTAAAACGGTTTATAATATATAGTGCCTATTGGTTTAGTGTTCTCCCCGTCATACCTCTAGTAGTAGTACGTACATTAGTATTCTGTTAGCATTAGATTTTTATGCCTACCTGTCATTTTTTTCTTTACGGTCACTTGATTATTGGGTTGTTATTTGTGTTGTTTTTACATGACTTCTCATTGTTGCACTTCTTGTTTTTCTCTTTTTTAACGTGGTACTTATGCTTCTCTGAGCCGACGGTCTATTGGAAACAGTTTCTCTATCTATACAAAGTAGGGGCAAGGCTGCATACACACTACCATCCCCTTACCCTACTACGTGGGATTATATTTTTTGTTGTTGGTATATTATATAGGGTGTAAAGAACTTTACATTACCAGTATACTTGTTATAATATGCTGTTTATCATTTTATTGATTATTCGTTTCAAACAAATGCTTATTACATGGAATTATTTGATTGTGTAAATATTTTTTTATGGTGACAGTTTATCGAATTCAAAAAGTGATTTAAATAGGAAATGCTTGCAGACTAACTGAATTTAAGTGAATCATTTCATATCTTTTCTTAAAAGCATCCAAAGAAGTAGAGATTTTCTAAAAAGAATAAGATATTAAAAAATAGTAAAAATAAGGAAAAAGTAAGTTTAAAAAGGTTACTTTACTTAATTGCTGTCTAATTGTTTGCTGAAATGTGAACAATTGTAACCCTTACCTCGTAAATCTCATCCTTAGCATGTGTTAATTAAATGTATCTGGACAGTAAGTGAAGAATAAGATTTGAGATATTAATTAAGATTATAGTAATAATCAAGTCGTTAACTTATTTAATTAATTTTTCAGTTTACTTTTGTTTGCTTTATGTGCACAGCACAGGGCTCCAAGATAACTTAATTTTTATGCCTGAAAATTCGTTACAAATATTAAAATAATTTGCAAAGCACAAGAATTTTCTTGATTGCTCAATAAGATTCTCAAGATTAATGTTAGTTATTCGATAAATGTTTTCTGTCTACCAACCAGCAAACATGATCCTTAAGAAAAACTTTGGATTCTTATGTCAAAAGCGCGGGAATATATATAATTACTCTATTTAATTATGATTAAGTAATAAATAATTATATGCAAAACACATATCTTGCATTTTTATTTTTAAATTTTCTTTCCCTTGATCCCCCGCCATGCAGTGACAGAACGAGAATCTTACGAAAAGATGTTAAAATTATAAAAAATTAAACACACAAAAAATAGTAAGAGGAGTCAATATATATTATATATACATAAATAAATTTTTAACCTAGCTATACAGTATTTTTTTCCGACGAGACATCCCTCCCTTAACATCACTGCGTCCATGTAAAGAAGGATACTTATTATGCATGGTTTCTTTATTTTAGTTTATATATAAATTTAAGTTTTAAACTCATATTTGTAAAAATTAGGATATAAAAGTCGAACTCATCAAGTATAAATTTTGGATCCGCGTCTAAAGAGCGCACTTAAGGCAGCTCATGTTATGCGATGTAGCCAGAATTATACCAAATGAAAAACATTTTTTTTTTTTGCTTCCCAATTAATGTTATCTATGTGTGGAATAGGGCAATTTTGCAAGAATATAGGCATGTTCATTAATGGCGGTGTATTTCTTAAATTAAGACCTTAAGTTTTAATGCATTCTCTGCATTTGTACTTCACTAATTCTGACCATTGACCATGTCTGGCATTGAAAACAAATTATGCTTTAACAATTTCATATTGAACTTTGACTTTTTCTAGATGAAAGAAAATTTAGGTGGTTTGTATTATGATTGTTCTAAAACAATTAAAACTTCTTAATCAATGTACTTAAAAATTAGAATCCAATGAACTTAATTAGCGTTTTAATCTGGTAAAGTTTTTGAAAAACTTCTTTTTTAGCTTTGGCAATATTTTAGAAAAACTTTAATAAACTAAAAAGGCATTTTGTTTTGTAGCATGGCAAACAAATGAGTATGAAAGATTCTAAGACAAAGTTAGCAACTTTTATCTCTTTTCTTCATAGTATTACAGGTAAAAAGACTAATTTTGATTATTTGGAGCATTGAAAATCTTGGTTTTGCTGCTCTATGTTGGGCATGAATTGGCTAATTTAAACAGAGTTGAAGAGATGAAATAGACTTGTAGCTAGCGTTTTGGCCATAAATTTCCAAATTTATTTTGAAAAATTTGATTTGGGTGAAGTTTGATTTGAAGATGAAAATGTGTTTGGACATTAGTTTTCAAACACATATTTCTTCTTTTTTCGAAAAAACATGAAACATGACTTATTCCCACAAATTCTAAAAACTATCACAAATACCCAACAGTACATTCATCAATAGCATTCATTATATTATCGCAAACCATAGTTTTGAACATAAATAAATTGGTATAAAATTATTATTTTTATAATGAACTACATAATACATTATCAAATGCCCAAGAAAACGAAGCAACAATGTTACAAAATAATAAAATGGACTCTTTTATAAAATACAAAAAAATTGGGGCAATTTTTGAAAAATGTAATAGTAATATCTTGGGCCAAAAGCAGCTCTTGAGCTGGTTTTGGGATTTGCCAAAATATGAATAAAATTTATGGTAAGGTCTGCGTATACTCTACCTTTCCCAGACCTCACTAATGGATTATTAGTGGGTTGTGTTGTTGTTGTATGGATAAAATTTATGAACAAACATGTATGGGAGAAATTCAAAATAGCCAGATTTACAAGTGATAATTGAAAATAGTCACAATTTCAAAAGTAATCAAAATTTAGCCAATTTTCATGTAAAGACAAATCTGAACGAAAACACTGTTCAAAATCCGAAAATTATTCGAGCATAATATACTGGACTTCCATTATAATATACTGGAGTTCCAGTATAATATACTAGAGTTCTAGTATAATATACTGGAGTTCCAGTATAATATAGTGGTCCAGCATAATATGCTACACTGGTACTCCAATCTCCAGTATGTTGGATCTTTCCATGTGTTTATGTTTCAATGGCCCGTCCGAAACAAGCCCATGCTATTTTTACTACATGTATTTGCCAAAAAAATACCAAATATATTCTGGCAAAATCTATGACCAAACGGGTCCGTAATTTCCTCCCTTCAACTGTAAGTGTGTAGATTGAATTCTTAATATTTCTAAGGTAACAATACAAGTCAAATGGAATTGTTATTATCAGTGAAGAACAATGTCTGATTAATATGAAACAAAGGGGAAACAAGAGTTTGCAAGATGTAGAATAAAAGCAGCTCAGATCTGTGAACCAGAAATATTATGA